TTCTGAAAAGAAAAAACCCCAACTTTGCGGACACCCTGTATAGAATCAAAGAATTTGCGGAGTCTAAAAACAATGGCTGCTACCCGTATGCGATCGCTGATAGTTGATGTTTTTTTTATTAATTTGGAATAAGGAGCATGCTTAGGCTTATACCGTATTCCATAAAGAAAAATAGAAATTAATTTTACCACATAAATTTTTACTTAACAGACTTAAGACAAATGAAGTCAAATAGTTGGATTTGGTATTTCTTAAGTACTCATACGCATCTATTTACAAATTAAAACATTTTTATAAAGATGAGAAAAATGAGCCTTAACAACTTATTATCCTTAAGAATTTGTCAATCAGAAACTTAAAATTGTGACATTATATATGGCCCCGCTCTATCATATAGTGAACAAAGCAAATTACAATGTATTCAGAATTTGTGCGTCAGATTTTCTTGCGGAATACAAAAGTTTGATCATGTTTCTCATAAATCTAATGACTCTCACATATAAGCTGTTAGCCACTAAACAACCACGATATTTGAAGTTAGCACGATGTAGCGACATTAATCAAGGAAATACAAGGAATAGACATATGTTAGTGATACACTTACATTCTTAGACTGTCTACACAAAGTCATTTAGTTACAACGCTATTAAATTATACAGGGTGTCTGCGAACGGTTGGGAAATCTCGAAACTGGAGAAACTACAGACCAACATATGTGAATTGACCTAAACATATCTTAGTCCAAAAGTTGATAGTTTGCGAGATATAGGGTATCAAAGTTACAATTTTATTTTCTAGTTTTCCTTATTGCGTGAGAAATATTTCAAATTTTGGCATAAAACTCGTAATAGTGAGGTTTTCTAGTATGAAAAACAAGAATCCGTTATTTTTCTTGGCCAAACTTCTAGAGGGCGCCACTTACAGCACTATTTCGGTAGATAAAGTATCACAACTTTTTTGTGCTACTCTGTATACAACAACTGACCGAAAAATCTTATTTTCTTGTATTTCAACAACAAAAAAGGTTTACTTGTTAGAAGTATCGAAAGCTAATAGTTTTCGAGCTATTTGTTTTTAAATCATAACATCTTGCCAATCCGTACATTAAATGCATATCAGAGTATTCATCAAACGTATACTCCGTGATGTTTAACATTGTTTCGAAGGTTAAGTTGAAAAACATTACTCTTAGCGACACTTCGCCTGTTTTGTAATATTGTGCAAAATAAAGCCAATTTATTATTATTATTATTATCATGATTATTATTGTTATTATTATCATAAAATACGGTAAAAAACAGAGTTTAGATGGTTTGCTTTTTACATTTTAAATTTATTTTTTGACTACACCTGAATGCTATGAAACAATTGTGATATCGAAAAACGAAGTTTGTTAATAGCTGATCTTTCTGCTTTTTGCTCATGACTACGCCACCAATGAAATTACTGTGACCCAACAGCTTATCCCTTTCTTAATTTCACTGGAATCGATGCTGCTGTTTATGAGGTTACCCTGTTAGAAGAAGAGAAGAAGGCAGATTAACAGACAAGCCGACAGATAGACAGACTGATTCTTCCCTCACTTAGACATGATAATTAATATTTGAATGTATGTTAAAATTACTTTTTTGTCGTTCAATGTGCAGTTGCACAAAGGGTCCAACAAAATGATTCACGAATAGATGGTGTGTTCACGTCACATCTATTTTTCCATCTGGTGCTTTATAGAAAATTTACGCAGAGCCTGATACTGAGTGATACTTTGTACCGGCAGCACCTAATCTTTCATTTAAACTTGATTTTGTTCAACTGAATAATTGGCCACTTTGCATACGTGCCAAAGAAGAACGATCTAGTCAACTGGACATAGTGTTTGTGTTGTAATATATATTTGGTGAAGGATGAACCACACCATCGTCAAGATTAGGAGATCAGGTTAATTTGCAACTAGAATATATTCATGGGTTGCAATCCCCTTGATGAAATTCGGCAGACTATGATACAACTATTGGCATTCGAACAAGGTGACAAATACCATACTAATAACTACTTATTCGTTATCAAAGTCAGAATAGATGGAAGAATAATATTGATTTTATTTTTATATTTCCTAGTTTGTTTCCCTTTTTATGTCATGTAACTTAAACAACCACCGTTTCAGCAAAAATGTAGATCGGTTTTGCTTTCCCTGAGTAGCATCCATTTAAGCAGTTTATTAAATCAAGCCGAATACGATTCCATGCTTGTCTGGTCGCTAAATGAAACCGCACATGTTTGAAATTTTACAAAGTACAATTGATAACTGATAATATCATTGTCAGTGGTGGTCGAAGCGTTGATAAAAATAACAAATTAATATGCAACCATATACCTGAAGAAATAATTAAAGATACAAATCTCAAATTTAAAATATTAATCAAAGATTAGATAACAAATCTCCCAAATTATGAAATAGCAAATCCACTTACTCATACTGAAATAATAATCTTAAAAATTTTAAGAGTATAAAAAATGATAAGAAAAATGATTTGCGATCACATATACCCCATTGTTTTCGAATACAGTATATTCAGATAAGAGATAGACCGGATGTAAACAAAAGGTTCGGGTGATTTTCACGCTAACGCCGCCGTCTCGACGTAAAACAGGAGCCCTCATTGGTCAATTCGCAATTAAATGCCTATGCCGAGCGGCAGAGCAGTCGTATCAAGGCAGAGTCACATTCAAGTTCAGACGTGTTGCGTATGTCGTGTGCATCATTGCAATTTGATATTTCTTTGGACGTTTTAGTTTGTTATCTTATTAAGTTGTTGAGTTTGTCGTTGTTATTGTTATACCTTGTTATTGATTGTTATTGTTATCAACTGCTTGCGCAAAATGCCCAGTAGTACAGATACTGCCGATGAAGTTGTAAACTCCTGTAGTCCACCTAGGAAACGCTCTAAAAAAAGACACCTGAGTGCAGAAATGAAAGAGGTCATTTTGAATATATATAAGATCGAGCGCGAGGAGAACGAGGCATCAACCATCAAAGAAATTGTTGTGAAGGTTTCTCACAAAGTTGGGGTGTGTCGCGTATCAGTGTTTAATGTGTTAAGACAATACAAAAAAAATCACACCTTTTCTGAGCCAATGACCAGTAAACATCGCAAAAGTATTGTTAAATCATTGGATGAAGCTGATAAGCATGCGATTAGGAGGAAAGTGCATGAATTCTTCTTTAGGAATGAAATACCTACTATAGATAAAGTACTGCAGGAGGTAAATGGAGATACAACGTTGCCAAATTTCAAACGATCAACTTTCCATGCGTTACTGAAGCATTTACATTTCAAATGGAAAAAACGGGGTCGTAATAGTTTACTACTGGATAGAGAAGAAATTGTGCTATGGAGGAGGGATTATTTAACAAAAATTGGGAAATATAGAAATCAAAACAGGAAGATTTATTACCTTGATGAAACGTGGGTAAACGCAGGACACACTACAAGTAAAGTATGGGTTGATGATTCTGTAACTTCATCCAGGAGGGCCTTTCTAGATGGACTGTCCACCGGATTAAAAAATCCAGCAGGTAAATACGAGTAATAGACAACAATCGGATGTTTTTCAAACCTTGGGAACAAGGTTCTAAACATTAATTCCAGGGGGCAGATAAAACATATTACAAGTAACAAAACTTTTATAACTTTCGATAAAATGCGTGGATGTTTTATTGTTATTTTCATTTGTTAGAACTTTTTTAAGCCATGTTTTTATGTGTTTTCGATATTTCAATAATTTTTTAATATAATCTTAAAATATGTCGAATATTATAAACATAAAAAAAGTTACTAAGTTTTATATTGTGTACCGTTCCTAATATTTCTAATCACTTTAATTCATACTTTAAGCTTTATAAAGTTATAATTTGTTAATATTAATATTTGCGCGTATTTCAGGTTCCTGATTATTCATTTTTTAAAGGTTTATAACTTTAAATTAAATTGTGAAGCGCTGAGTAATCATACGACGTTCAATATTCTTTCTTTCAATATGACTAAATAATCCCAATTATAGCAATCTGATACTCATGTCTCAATGTTTTTTCGCTGAATGTGATGAAAACATTTGAAAAAGGTTCACTTATTGAAATAAATCTACACCAGTTAGTACTTCGATTTCCAGGTAAAGGGAAAAGGCTCATTATCTGCCATATTGGCAGTGAGGATGGATTTGTTGTTGACGGTCTGTGGTGCTTTGAGTCTAAGAAAACTGGAGATTACCACGAGGAAATGAATGGCGAATCGTTTGGACAGTGGTTTTCAAAAATTTTACCGAACTTAGAGGAAAACGCAGTAATTGTGTTGGATAATGCGCCTTATCATTCTCGAAGAATGGAGAAGGTCCCAACAACGGCTTCAAGGAAAGTTGATGTTCAAAATTGGCTCCGCTCGAAAAATATCAACTTTGAAGAAGCAATGCTGAAAGTACAATTATTAAGAATTGTCAAGGATCACAAGGCGGAATATCAAAAATACGCCATTGACGAAATGGCAGCAAGTCAAAATAAAACTGTGCTCCGTTTACCTCCATACCATTGCGAGCTCAATCCCATTGAGTTCATATGGGCAGAGGTTAAAAATTATATAGCTAAGCACAATACAACTTTTAAATTTTGTGACCTCAAAGGACTTTTCAAAGAAGCACTAGAATTAATAACAGCGCAAAAATGGGAAAACTGTATTAAGCACGTGAAAGACAAAGTTGAAAAGAGGATGTGGGAACTGGACAATATTTTAGAGGAACAAGTCGAGCCATTCATTATTGACGTTGGTGCTTCAGGCAGTAGCGATGATGAAAGCTCATCAAGCTCATCTTTACAATAAAAGATGTCGTTCATCAAATTCGGTAAGTTATAAGTAATTATAAAGCTACTGTATTTTTTAATTAATTATTGACATTTTTGAACCCATTTTGGCAAAACCTATTCAAGAATCTACTTTCTGACAATGTTCAACCATGCACATTTTTTTACGTTTTGAACGTTTTAATTTGGTTACATATTTACCTAGAAATCAAAAAATATAGTAATCAATATTCTAAAAGCAATTTTAAGAGATATACGATTATTTTTAATTTAGGCTAATTTAAACGCCATTTTGAGATTATATTCGACTGTATTTCACCAAACATCAGGCGGCATCCGAAGCTGGAAATCGAAGCGAAAATTTTGAAACCCTTATGTATATTTACATCATTACCCCACCCCCACATGATCCTATATCCATCACCAATCGTATACACATCGAATTGTGCTAATTTACTACAAAGTTACGCAAAGCAGCATCTACTATCTAAAATATGTACTGCGTGACTCTTAATACGTCCCTGCCGAATGTTACAGCGTTCGATGATCACGTGGTCTTGTTTATGTCCGGTCTATTTCTTATCTGAATATACTGTAGATATGTACTCCTAGCTTTTGAGTAATATCAGACTATTCACAACCATACTATCCTTTTGTGCTTTTTATTTCTAAACTTATTCACTAAAACTTGATAAATAATGTAAAAAATTAAATTATTATTATATATGGTTTTATTTGGCGGCCAGATATCCATGGAACCCTATCAGCATAGAAATCATAAGTTTCAGGTGTTAGATTAAAGCCGAACTAGATGGGGGCAATTGACCGGTGTCCGCTTAATACAAAGTGTTTCAGTTACAGTCGAACAAGAATCGTTTGAATTAAATGTATATCAACTCATTCTAAAAGGCTATTATTTGCTCCACAATATCCGACTTAGAGGAGGTACAATCTTCTTGTGGTGACATTATGTGAATGAGTTGTATTGTTTCGCTATCATCAAGCTTCAATAAAGTATTGTTGTTAGATTTGTCATTACTAATAGTATTTTGATTCAATAAGTCACAACTGAATCATATTTCTCGGGTAAAAAATCTGTGACAAATTGTGAAAGCTGCACTGGAGAGGTGTTCTAATGGATGCAGACTCTAAGAATAGATAATATAGTGAACCATTTACTGTTTTTTTTTGAGGCTGGTAAGTATTGTACTATTAATTATCGTTTGAGAATATCATCTATATATACAAACTGTGAATTCTTTCTTCTTTGAGTGTTGCTGATCCATGTGACTTCAACCCGTACTTATTTTTTGAAAAGATCAAGTAAGCAAGCTGAGATTTGGGGTAATGAACTGAAGATAAATACTATATTTTATCCTATAAGAAGCAGGTGAGAATCTCAAGAGTGTGGCTGGGCGCTATTTTGGAACACATTTTAAATGAAATGGGAGATCGTGTGATACCTCATTTTGAGGCTTCTTATGAGTACTTGATCTTCCTGGAATATAAAATCACCACCTTTCAAAATGGTGGCATGAGAGGCTATCAAGGTTGGTAGTTTTTGTATATGGAGTTGCTTATAACTGAACAATCAATCTGCAAAACGCTTCTTTTCGAACGGTCCATCCGAATAGATATTAAAAATAAAATTTTAAACATTATATTTAAAATAATAATTATAATCTATCAATCTCTTAAACTAAAATAAAAAAATGCTCGATTAAAATAATGATTTTACATCTTAGCGTTATGAAGCACTCACAAGGAGCATCAAAATAGCGTTGACATGATGCCATATTCTATTTAAAAATGTTACAAGATGCATGAATATTGTATTATCCCGAATTTTCACGTGCTAACTTGAGTAGAGGGGGTATTTTGCTGGAAAGTCTATATATAGCATTTGTATATTAAAATCAAGTAAACTTTCTATTTATTTTCTGAAGTTCTAGAAGAAGTTGAACTTGAAGTCGAATTTCAATTAGGCGTATGTGAAAAATTGCATTGGACACAAATTGTATATAATTTTATTAGATCGTAGTAATAATTTAGCAACTATAAGCTTGGGTATGACATCTCACAATCTATACGCCATATAAGCTAACTGTGTTTAATATTAATTTTACAGTCCATTGTTCTATTGTAAAAAATTACACGACGAGTTAGTTTGATACCTATCATTAGATACTTATAAAACTGATTATCACTATAGTCAATGGAAGATAGTACGCAACTGTTAACGCGGAGTATCTTTGAATATGATGAGATCCGTCTTATCAGTGACATACGACGAGCTACGATACTCTCTTTCATTTTGTTACTTGACTACACCAGATTGTGATACTGAGGAACTTTTTGTAGCAATAGTAACATATTGGCAAGTTATCGCAATATAGAGTCAAACTATTATCTTCCATACTAAGTGACATCGCATTGAAGCAAAGAACTTGTCAGATGTCTGGACATAGCCTTGCACTAATTATTCAGTTCATTGGAAACAAGAAACATGATAAAACTAAAGAAAATAATGCATAAGTATGCATTCGAGCTCGCATCCTGTAAATTCAACATCATTCAGTATTAAGTAAAATCAGACTTTATCTGTATGTTTCTTCTCTCACTGTACTAATTTGTATGGTAAGAGATCATATTTAACTGACTTTGCTGCTATTTGTGTTAGTCTGTATGGTCAAACTTCGTCTACGTATCTTAGTATTATAATACTGTCTCCATCTTCTCCTGGTTTCACCATTGAAAACAACGTAGAACAGAAACAGAATAAATCCTTCTAGATTTGAAGTGATTGAGTAGATGTAGATTAGTGCCACTCTCAGCCATCTAACAGTGATCCAATTGGCGACTAAAATGAAAACAGTTGGTACACCAAGAACAAAAAAAAGTAACGTTGCCAATTGAATTTGGAGCCTGCACGAATCCTTCATTTTGCTATTGTTGGTTTCAATATTTGAGTGAAATACTTCGTACATTACTTTACAGAAGATAACAAAGTTAACGAGAATTATCACTACTATAGGAAGTAGTACTCCAATGAACAAAGAGAGATTCTGGGGATAGCAGTATCCAAAATGATTGATGCTGTACGTACCTGACAAAGATACATAGGTAGCAACTGTTGGTATCAATGGAAATCCCCATCCTAAGATACAAGCTTTGAGCAATATATTGCTGGGATAAGGTCCAAGTACTCTGACAAACCTTATATACTGCAGTATGGCGTAAACAAGAAGCCAAGTGAACTTGCTTAATACAGCGTAGTGTAATAGAAATCCAAACATTTTGCATCCAGTGTCACTTTTGACAAGAGACTTCCAGTTAGATAGAACCATCATAGAAATCTCCAAAGTAATGGCAAAACAAATGTTGAGTAGGATTTTCGTACCTGGTTTACTTCTCCAATTTTGAAAGATGATGGCGGTCAAGAATATTCCTAACAAACCAATCGTTGTGAATACGTCTGCAACAAGGTTTATGGTCTCTAAATTATATTCAGTAGTGTTAGTTATCGTATGGTCTACTTCCGTCTTGCTAGCGATCAGCAAAGCAAAGTGAGTTAGATGAGAAAAGTAGCATATATGAAAATCACTACTGTTTTCAAAAGTGTTGATGGTTCCACCTAAGTTTGACCAAACACCTTTTCTTCTCCTTGTCTTCTTGCCATAATCCCAGAAGGCACATTCAGGAGCTACATTAGTGTCAGTTGATTTGAAGAGAATAGGAATTGGGCTAGCAAGATAGGATGTATATTCGGGAATTGCTACATTTATGACTGGACCAAATGGCTTCCTCGTATCTGACTCATTAGTTTTGACAAATAAAGTATCATTCAGAAAAATTGTTATTATAAGAGAAAAGTTTGAGCCTGTACGTTCTATGTCAGTTATGATGTCATCAGGAACATAGGTAGCAAGGATCAAACTTTCCTCGTAGATGATGTCATCGAAGGATTGATTTCTAAGGATAGTTCCAACAGTGAAATTATTGTTACGAGCATTACCGTAAAGAATTATGCCGGTTACATTACTTTCGAGAGGAATAGTTTTATACGTGATGAAATTATTCATTTGATAAATAAACATTTTTGGATCGACGACTTCTGAAATGTCTACTTCAGCAACCAGTTGCCTTGTATCCGCTTGGACAAAAATTGTCTCCACCGCATCCAAGACGTCATCCGTAACATTCATGTGTTCTTGAGCAGCCTTCAGGTATGTGGAGTTAACAGACATCAGTCCATCAGTAAGGTCAGCTACCTGTTTAGCAAGCGAACTGTTTTCTTCGCTAACTTTTTTCAAAACTTGCGCAACGTAGTACACCCCCAAAACCCCAATGTCATTATCTTCAGTCATAATATCAGTGATGTTGTTCAATACTTCATTAGTGATATTCTGCTCTATGATAGAACGCATATATTCTGCTGCAGGCGAAGGCAGGATGCTTTCCGTGCAGAATTCTGATGATTCCCCCCAATCTGCTCCTTCGATAAAGCTTCCTTTGCAAGTTCTGGAATTAGGAAGCCCATTGGATAACAGACATGGTTCATCGGGCAACTTGGTCTCGTCGATCTTCGTGAGCGGCCATGTGAGTTTCTTCCCAGCCCAAGAGCTCGATGGTAAACAGTACTCTGCACTTTTGAAGGAAATCACAGTTACTTTAGAGCGTCGTTTGCTGAAAAAGAAAAAACTTATTTATATGAATTTTAAGTTCGAGAGGAATCAAGAAAGGATTATAAAATGTATCTCAGAATATATGATTAATCGCTCAGATTCAAATAGAACACCAAAGTAAAAAAGGTTTCCATAGGTTCAAAGCTATCCTTTGCGATATCTGTAGTCATAACATTTTTGATATTTCTCAGATGACCCAGAATATGTAGGTAATTTCTCAGACTCATGCAGACCAACGCCAGTTAGACAGGAATATGGCCGCGAAAATATTCCTCTCCGTACATTTCCAAAAATAGAAGCCTTTCGAAAAAATCGACTTGACCTTTATTTGACCTTCAAACTTAAGGTCAAATCTAAGGTCACCACAGAATAGCCAGGCAAAGTTGTAAACCCAAACTGTTCCATTGAATATCCGTAAATATCCTGTTGAATGGGTAGTTTTGGGACACCTTTTATAAAGTCGCAGTAGTGATTATATTCTTGGAAACACTTTATACTTGTAGTTGCCTCGGTAAGACTATACTTTATATAAATATAAATACTTCATTTCTTATTGTAAAATGAAATATTAGGATGTAACTTTTACGAAAATATCACTTTTTCCTTAAGGATCTTTCTGCTTGCTATTTTATAGAACTTCAAAGTTGCATTTTTGGTGCCAATACTCTAGAATAGAATACTGTTTTATACCCTGTTTATGTTTGGTTTTTTGCTAAATTATAAGAATATAACACACACTGTATAGTACTAAGGAAGATACATGTGAAACTGTAAAAAATCGTTGTTTTTTGCAAGAAAAGGTTCAAAACTAGCCGTGTATTACACATTAGCTTGTTAGCTGAGATAACAGTTCATACGTAAATGATGGTATTTACTTGGTAAACTGTGTAGACATGTTGTGTTGTGATTTTTCAATGTCTTCTTGAGATGATGATGATGAGATGGGAGATTTTGCGTTTATAAGAAATATTTGAAAGTACAAACAATTCTCAATGGCCATTTTATAACGTTCATTTCTTGACACATGAGACAGATGATGTCCATTGTTGCCAAAGTTGTACGTTTTTTGGGGAGAAATACGTAATAAAAAATGAGGTTATTTGCAAAATAAAACTCTTAACTTATTTTAAATGGCTTATATATGAAATTTTGAACACTATGTGTCTAAACAGTGCAAAATGCGCGAGTCGCTCGCGTGACTTAAAATCAAAAGGCACCAGCGGTCACTTCATATACTATAAAAATACCCAAATTCGATTAGTCGATTTGGACCGCGTCTCCAGGTAAACCCAACATATGATCGTCCAACAACTGTTATAGTTAAATAGAAATCTACGACCATTCCTTCAAATCAACAAAAAACTTGCAATGCTCTTTTTTGTTATGATTTCATTATTTAGTGACTGGCAACAGCTACTTTTTAGGTAATTTCTCATATACAGGGTGGCCAAACACGTGACGTCATAAAAAAAAATTAGATTCCCCACATCGAGAGGAACCCAAATCACCCCCATATATATGGTCCGATTTTGTTTAGTTTAGGAGTTATGATTTTTTTTCGGATTTTTCGAGAATTTTTGAGTTCTGTGTTTATTTTTACCATAACTTCGTTAATAATTGTGATAAATGCCTGCTTTTTTCACGATTATGTAGCTAAGACCTAAGGCTTAACTATCATATAATCATTCAAGTCATGTAACTAATACTACTTTTTAATTTTTTTTCAAATTTTCGAACATAACAAAAAAGTAAAAAAAGTGCAACAACTTTGAACGTTTATAAAAAATTGAAAAAACGTGTTCTTACTATTCGTAAGTATCTTAAAAACTTCCTTATGGTATCAGCTATTTACCGTAAAAATTTCATCAACCTAGCTTTACTACATGCTACCGTAATTGTGGCTCAAATAGAACCGAACCCAAAATTGGATAACCCTCTGCTCAAAAATTTGCAAAAACCACAAAAACACGTTTGATTTTTACTGAACAGCAGATTATTATTCATTTATGTTATTTACAAGAGGTTTTCAAAATGTCTGCCTCTAACAGAAATGCACAGTGTACACCTACGTATGAAATTTTGTTTTAAATCTCTAAATGCTTGTGTGTTGTTTTTCAACACATGTGTCGCTTCTTGAATTTTGTTCCTCAATGAATTTTCATTTGCACATTCTTGGGCGAATGTTATGTCATTAAAATATCCCCAAACAAAAAAATCAATGGGGTTGAGGTCAGGATCCCGATTTTTTTGATAAAATTTTATGGACTAACGAGTCACGTTTTGAAAGAACAGGGATATTCAATATCCATAATTTACATACTTGGGCTGTTGAAAACCCCCACCAGTCAAGGCCGTCGACATTTCAACACCGTTTTAGTGTGAACATGTGGTCAGGAATATTCAATATGGAATTTATCGGTCCATTTGAACTGCCGTCAAGGTTGGATTCGGTAGCCTACAAAAGCTTCCTTGAAAATAGCCTACCATTATTGCTGGAAGATTCAAGCCTGGAAGCCAGACGGAACATGGTGTTCCAGAATGATGGTGCACCATGCCACAACGCAACGATCGTGCGAAACTACTTAAACGAAAGGTTCCCAGACAGATGGATCGGACGAAACGGACCGATACGATGGCCTCCACGCTCCCCTGACCTCAACCCCATTGATTTTTTTGTTTGGGGATATTTTAATGACATAACATTCGCCCAAGAATGTGCAAATGAAAATTCATTGAGGAACAAAATTCAAGAAGCGACACATGTGTTGAAAAACAACACACAAGCATTTAGAGATTTAAAACAAAATTTCATACGTAGGTGTACACTGTGCATTTCTGTTAGAGGCAGACATTTTGAAAACCTCTTGTAAATAACATAAATGAATAATAATCTGCTGTTCAGTAAAAATCAAACGTGTTTTTGTGGTTTTTGCAAATTTTTTTTCCGAAACTAACAATTTCTATTGAGCAGAGGGTTATCCAATTTTGGGTTCGGTTCTATTTGAGCCACAATTACGGTAGCATGTAGTAAAGCTAGGTTGATGAAATTTTTAAGATACTTACGAATAGTAAGAACATGTTTTTTCAATTTTTTATAAACGTTCAAAGTTGTTGCACTTTTTTACTTTTTTGTTATGTTCGAAGATTTTGAAAAAAATTAAAAAGTAGTATTAGTTACATGACTTGAATGATTATATGATAGTTAAGCCTTAGGTCTTAGCTACATAATCGTGAAAAAAGCAGGCATTTATCACAATTATTAACGAAGTTATGGTAAAAATAAACACAGAACTCAAAAATTCTCGAAAAATCCGAAAAAAAATCATAACTCCTAAACTAAACAAAATCGGACCATATATATGGGGGTGATTTGGGTTCCTCTCGATGTGGGGAATCTAATTTTTTTTTATGACGTCACGTGTTTGGCCACCCTGTATATCTATCACATTAAATTATGTATATTTTGTGACATCAGATTCACTTTAAAGAATTCTTCAAGCACATACATACAAAAAGTAAATATATTATAACTACAATATAAGACGAATAATATTTTTGTGAGGGGCATACGTCATTCTTCAGAAAAGTGTCTTTATATGTATAGCTAACGCTATTGTAAGGCACGAAGTGAATTGAGTACAGTAAAAGCTGCCGGCCACACCTCCATATCGTATTTTCATGGGAATCCTGTGCCGACAAACCAAATCAAGGTATATCATGATTTGGCAACATCGCAACTAGATAGAGAAATCATGATAGTGATGGAAATATTCTGAATAATCTGAAATAAAATAAATGACTACTTAACAATGATCTATTTTCACCATAAAAATAATGCAAAGTTGCATTATTGCGATGAACAGTGTATGTTATATTCATATAATTTTGAGCAATCTTTTGTGCATACAAAGCAGTATTCTATACCATAATTATACCACCCAAAATGCAACTTTGAAGTTCTATAAAATAGCAAGCAGAGGGTTCCTTAAAGAAAAAATGATTTGTTCGCACAAGTTACATCCTAATCTTTCATTTTGAAATGAGAAATGAAATATTTGCGATATGTGCTAAAGTATAGTTCAGGCGTTGCCTCTACATAGAACCTCAAAACTTACCTATACAGTTTATCCCTGAGGTCGTAGTACTCCTTAATAATTTCTCTTCTACGACCAGTACTGATATGTAGCAGCAAGTCCATAGTGCCATTGGGGTATAAGTGCACTTTCATCACCCTCAGTTCACAGCGAATATGACGGAAAATCTTAGGGATTTCATCGGGAATCAAATCTTCCACATCTTTGTCCATTGTGCATCCAGTACAGGTTTCATTGACGAATATCTTCAAGGCGTACTCATTTCCTTCTTTCTTTTTGTAGGCAATCACGCTATTAGACTTTACGACTTCACCTGTTGTACCGATTTTGAATGCTTCACACCAATACATTCCTGAAACAATCAATTATTATGATATCATTGTTCGAATAGTTCTATTGTTATCATTAAATCTAGTGCAGTGACGATTGCGGGTTTTGCTCTCGCCTTCCTAAATAAGCCTGCTGACACGTAAAAATGTCAACAAATCCTGCCGCATGCTTAGTTTTGATTTAATTACCTAAAGTACCCAATGGTTTTCTTTCTCCATGCAATGCTTTCTGCTTTATCAGTTTTAATCAATACTTCTGCCTGCAACTCGTCTAAACTGTGAAAACTGGAGTTGTTTACGTTGATGACGAAAGCAACAAAGAGATGTTGATATGAGACACGTGCAGGACCTGAAATATATTTCTGACGCAATGGCTGTAGTAGATAGTCCACCTTTCTCGACGCATTCGGCTTTGTCTCCTCTCTATGAGCTTACATTCCCATTCTCAGTCCTCTTGGCACTATCGAACACCACGTGATAGTTACCATACGTCTTGCTCCCGACTGGCGTGTCCACGCCTGAAAATCAAACGTGTTTGAAGTCGATGGTGCGCTGTCGTGGACTTGACGTCTGAAGAAAATTCACGACACCTCGTTCAGATGGAGGCAATTTCACGAATGGATCACGCTGCTTGAAAACGTAGGTTTACAGAGCGTTTCCTCAACCAGAAAATCAATTGGCGGGATTCCAGCCATCACAAGCAGTGCATCCGTTCACAACACTCCGTAGGTGGCGACGCGCAACACTACGTTTTACTGGCTTTGATGCATTAGCCGCCTATATTTCTTTTCCTCAAAGCCTTTTTATACAGGGAAAGCCAAATTTGTTTGACGGCTTGAGTTCAATGTCTTCGAGAGAGAAGCGCGACAAGTGTGTATCAACACATGTTGAGAAGGTCATGCAATCTGAATGAAAATATGAAACCTACCTTTTGTTCCCATGATAAGCAAAAGTAGAAGCCAGTTTCAAAAGGGCACACAATGCTATCACTTCAAACCCCGTTTCTATCATTCTAAGAAGGTTACCCTCAAGGGGGACATGGAGGGAGGGAAGTCTCAAATAATAATATTGGAGAACACGACTCCCTGAAAACGTTTTACTACACGTTGTAGTGACCAGAAAAATGAAAGACATAAAGACGTTTTCGCTCAATTCTGAGGTTACTGCACCGATTTTCATCTAAAAAGCTTCTTCGTCCCTATCATAGTAGGTAAGCACTTTGTTCCAAAGTTTCATCAAAATTCGATCAGCACTTCGCGAATATAGCGAGACCGGGAGGTCGGTGGATAGACAGTCAGGCAGAATATCGGAAATGAGGGACAATATGTTTTTTCGTGGAGTATAACATCCAAAAGACTTCCTTGTGATAAGTTAAAACAACAACTTGAACATATGCTTACCCATATATTTTTCCAGTTTGAGTTCATAAACAGCAAATGGCACATGTCTATCATCTTGAAAGACTCTTTTGATTGATACTCTGCTCTTCAAGGCTTTGGTAGCATCTGTGTAGCAGTAAATCATATCGTACTGGTTTCGAAAAATTCCCTCAGGATGGTAGACGGTCAGCGAGAGAGACCTAAATATCATATATGACATGTATTAATAGTTATCATATGAATCTCGATTGCAAAGTATTACGCGACACCTTGATTTTGGTGATGCTGCCATACAATGCATACGATGAGATTCGCCACACGCGCGTTAGCATTAGCGTAGTGTAAATTATGCGACACTCCAAGCTCTTCCAATTTGGTACTCGTTTATAGCAGTGGTTACTAAGGAAACATTTCTCGTTAAGCACGCATGTATAGGATTATTAATCGATCAAAGGAACTTACCTTAAGTGAAGTTCGATCGTAATTATACGAGGGTCCAGTCCGAAGACATCACTTTGTTTATTTACTATGTAGTCCGACCCTGGATTACTAGCCGCACACCAAGTTAAAAGACAAGAGATCCCCGCTCCCGTCCCGTCGCTCTCCGGTCTTGCACGTTGAGTCATTTGTTAAAAGAAATGGTACTTGCTCGCAACTTGGGAGGGTTGAAAAAAGGGGTGGGAGTGATGTCTTCGGACTGGACCCTCGTATAATTACGATCGAACTTCACTTAAGGTAAGTTCGTTTGATCGATTAATTATACTTTAGGTCCAGTCCGAAGACATCACTTTGTTTATTTACTATGTAGATGTTTAAAGATAGAACACAGTTTCGAGCGATCTGATGGTGTTATAAAGTGGAATCAAAGTGTTCAGAAACGACAAAACCATATATTTAGTATTCCTATGTAACAAACATAAAATAAGTTCTCAAATTGTAACCTAAAGATAACGTTGATATGAGAAATAACTGAAACACAGGAAACATGTAACAAACTCTCAAGAGTATTAGAACTTAACTAATCAGACCAATTTTATATCTAGGATTGCATTTGCAAACTCATTGTTTGGTTGTAGAGGACGATTATAAAATCTTGCAAACGTGGAACGTTGCGTCCAACCAACTGTTTTACATATGTTATCTACGGAAACGCCTTTTCTTAACGCCTCAGAAGTCGCCGCATGCCTTACTGAATGAGGCGTAAAAAGTGTTGTCTACTCCTGCAGAGACAAGGGTCTGTTTTACCCATCTGCTTAAAGTGTCTTTAGACGCCCTGCCATGGGTTTTTTCCCTGTCACAAATAGGAAATCGTTATTGGGTTCTCTTAAAGAAGCCGTTCTATCAATGTATTCTTTCAGGATTGTGGCCACGCAAAGAAAGGGGTTTTGTTGAAAAATCGGGATGTGCAGAGTGGGTTGAGGTTTTCCAACTCTACTGGTTTTAATTGGATCCGATATATTAATAGTTGATTCACTGTGACCATGGATTTTATTTGAGAGACGTATAAGAGATATCGTCTGGAGTCTTTCTCCTGTTATCAGGGCTAATAACGTCGTTAATTTCTGTGACAGAGTTTGAAGACTAAGCGGTGATGATAACTTCTCTAAATAATTTAGAAGGGGTATAGGGTCCCAGGTGGCAGTATACTTTGGTCGTGAAGGCCGTAAGCCAGAGATGCCTTTTTTGAAGCGTTTAATTATCGGATTAGAGGCTAAATCCTTTGAGCAAATTAATGAAAGGGCAGATGTATGGGAGTTAAAAGTACTGAAGCAATAACCCCACCATAATTTATACGAACTGTTATATTGTTGTAATGTGGAAATGCGTAAAAATAAGATCGATTCCAGGGAATCGTAAACGCGTCAATATATGCAGATCCTGGATCTCTATGCCAGGAGACATATAACTTGCATTTAGCATTTGTATGGGAAGCAAAAAGATCAATCTCTAGGTTTCCGAAAACGGTGGTTAAACGGTCGAAGGCGGTTTGACATAATGACCATTCCTTTTCCAAATTCGAACTCCTGGACTCGGTGTCTGCTATAACATTATCCTTCGAAGGAACGTATGAAGCGAAGAGCCAGAGGTTCCTTTGCTCACACCATTGCCAAATTTGTTTTCACAATGAACAGAGGTCTGGGAATTGAACACTCCCCATTCTGTTGATGTATGAAACAGCTGTCGTGTTGTCACATCTAATTAGAATATTGCAGTTTTTCAAATTTTTGGCATAGCACTGAATCCCGTACGAAATAGCCCATAAATCCAAATTATTTATATATAACCGTTTTTGAGAGTCAGACCAGAATCCATGGGTTCTGTCATGGCCACAACCAGCACCCCATCCTGTAAGTGATGCGTCGGTAAAAATTGTTATATGAAAGGGATCATACCTGATGTCATTGAAGGCTTTTGATATATGATTTGTCCACCAAAAAATATCTGGCTTTATGCTTTCAGGGATAGGTTTCTTTTCGTCAGGAAGTTCTATTTTTTAAATGGACACTATCTATCATAAAGCCTATAAATTTCATGTAAGTGGTAGGTACTAGGATGCTTTTGTTTTTATTGATTATAAGACCTATCGATTTTAAAAGACAAATGGTTGTGTTGACATGTTTGAGGCAGGATTCATAGGAATGTCAGAATGTTAGGAAATCGTCTAGGTAATTGACTGTAGAGATGCCTAAAGTGCGGAGAAAAGAGGCGACTGGCTTCATGAGTTTTGTGAAACATAACGGAGCTGTACATAACCCGAACGGTAAGCAGGTAAATTGGTACAATTGACCTTCAAATTGAAATTTAAGGAATGGTTGATGGTCATTGTGAACGGGTACCAAAAAGTATGCATCTTTCAAGTCGATTGCGCACATATACACGTTTTTGTGAGTCACTTCAATAGCCGTTCGTAGGTCCTCCATTTTAAAATGCGGACATTCCACATATTCATTTAATTGTTTTGGATTTAAAATAAACCTTTTTCCACCGCTGGATTTATCTGCTAGGAAACATGGAGAGATAAATTGTTCGGGCCTTGACTCAGATTTGAGTATGGCTCCGGACCTTATGTTTCTGTAGGAAAAAATTATTTTTAACCAAGTGGTAGCATGATGGAATGAGGGAATCCTATAACCTTGAATCCAGGATAAGACTGTCAAATTTGAGGTTAGTTTGGACCAAGAGTCCAAATAAAACTGTAAGCGGCCAGCAAACGGAACTTGTTTTACCTTCAGCGTTTCCTGGTTTGCTGTTGTCTGTTCAGAAGAAACTGTTTCGAGGAATGGCCCTTGTATTGCCTCACCTCCCTCTTGCGGTAAGACGGGCGATACCTGCATTCTTGGACGAGCTGCCCCCCCCTCTTCTTTTGGAATGATTGAAGGCCCGCGCTGATTGAGAGCTAATGCGTGAGGGGTAGAAGGCAAACGTAAGTCCTGTCCTGCCTTTTCCAAAGATTTCAAATGTTTTGCTCGTTCACCTAAATCTGGCCCAAACATAAATTCACCAGGTATGGTATTTTCAGTCAGTTCTTTACCTGATTTGTTAAGTACTGGGCTAATTAAATATTTCCTTGTTTTCGAAATATCGTGGAAAAGAGGCGCCAATATTCGTGCAGAATCTGTCAAAGACTTTTTCCCTGGCAAGACTCCTCAAGGAACTGGGAGAATTAACCTCCAAATCCCCGCTTATTAAATTTAACTAGGGCTATCAATTATGAACATCGGGACGCGAATGCGTAACAAATAATTACTGGATTCGTATTTTGTTGTGTCTAATAGTACATTTCACTCAGTTCGAGAAGCTTTTAAGAAAATGTATTGCCAGTTTTGTATCAAAAATGCACTTTATGTATTGGCGATTGTGCATATTTTGTGTGGGGGTGTGCATGTTGTGCATATGTTCGTAAAATTGTGCATAATATGCACAATTGTGCATGTCGGAACATCCCCGGACCTTGAACGTCTACGGCTCGGCCGAGAACGAGAACGCCTAAAGTAATGGGGCGAATCGGCACGAGACCTCGACCTGCAGCTTCTACCCTCAAGTTCCTGGTGTAAAATGTCTTTAGGGATGCTGGATTCGTCTTCCAAGATAACGTTGAGTGCTTTTCTCAGGGTGGTTAGTCCGTTACCAATGTGCAATTGGTACCCGGACTGAGTGGAATCCCTAGTTAAATGTGTGGATGAAAGAATAGCTTTCACTTCGGGATTTACTTTTGGAGGACGTAATAAAGCGAAATTAGATGGCACATTTTGTTTTTCGCTAAGGATAGAAATATCTTCGGCGGATAGCCCGTTTGCCAAAATATGGGACCACCTAGAGGCTAGGGCACCGTGAAGTTTAAAACTAGACGTATTAGCCTTTTCAGGATCGGCACCCAGAATATTTAATGTGTCCTCTGATAATGGCATACAATCGGCATCGTCAAGTATCAAAACATCGTCCATACTGTTTTGCGTTGTTCAGCTGGACTGGATGAATTCTGTTTTTTTCCCGCACATCTTCTCGTCTCTCTCTACGTCGCCTCGACACGCTCGGTGATCGACTACGACTGATGCTACTCCGCGGACGGGACCTTGACAGTGTTGTTCTCGATAGATTTTGAATTGTGCAAAGATGTCAATAGAAATTGTGCATATTTCTTTAAAAATGTGCATATATGATATATGTATACTAATTTTCTGGCGCAGCCGCCAATTTCAAAAAACTGAAATTTCATGGAACCATTGACGTGGTCCCTGCCGCCAGGTTTTTCTTCCATGGTTTTCTGCTAAGTATATCTTATATTATATATAACGTGCTACTAGATGAGCAACAAATCAACCCATTGTTGTACCTACTTACCAACCTACTCACCAAGCACTAATCGATTTGAAAAGGAATCGCGTATTTTACGTACAAACAAGCCGGGCGACCGTACGGCTGTAACACCAAAAACCGAATGACTCAACGTGCAAGACCGGAGGGCGACGGGACGGGAGCGGGGATCTTTTGTCTTTTAACTTGGTGTGCGGCTAGTAATCCAGGGCCGGACTACATAGTAAATAAACAAAGTGATGTCTTCGGACTGGACCTTAAGTATAATTCATTTGAAGGGTACATGATATTTTAATTCCCAATCGTTAGCTTTTAAAATAAGTAAACAGATAGCACCAAAAAGACATTTTTGTTTATGGCCGAAACGAAAAGAACTGGGAATGTCCATGTCATACCGGTAAAGAAGAAGGATTATCCAAAATGACAGTTGTAATTTTGAGATTAGAATTCATATAAAGTTTTAGGTATAATAATTTGAAGTTTAATGTGTTTTCTGATTCGGATTAGTTGTGACTTTCTTCTCATGAATTGTTCAAGGCTTAAAAGTTTTGAAAATATAAATTGAAATAATAAAAAAATATTGTTAAATATTTCAGTTCACTGGGTAGTGTCAGTGAACAGAACTTGTATTTGTCAGGGCTTATAAATGTTTATAATGTGAACAAAAAGCAGGAAGTTTGAAGATGAGACTAATTTTCATACAGCTGCATATAGCTATGAAGTGAAGGTAAAAGATGAAGATACCAATAATAATGTTATAAAAGGTGGGCCTGTATGTTTATCATTCATGGAATTAACAAAGAAGACGTTGAATATCTACAAAAAAGCATAAAAACAGCATAGAAAGCTCCAGTAGATCAAAGTGAAAGGCATGAAAATAGTAAAACAATTGCATCAGAGATTAAGGATTGAGGAATTAACTCATTTAACGGAAGATTGAGTCTTTACAGTTCAAAAGACAGTAGGAAACTAAAATATCATCCAAAAACCAAAGATTATGATAACTGAATCTGACATCTTGTTTTTTACTTGTTTCAAAATATATCATTTGGTTTTTGTTCAATTTTAATATGTTTAATAAATAAAAGGTCCAATGTCTACAACAAACTTAGATATAAAACATTTAATTAGTTCTGAGTAAAAACTGCAAACTGTGATTTCAATAAAATAATATATTCGTACTTTCACACTTAAATTGCATTTTGCTCAAAATCAGTTCATTCGGACATCCTCTGTTATTTGCCTGTACCCTTCATTTGTTTTATCAATGTGAGAAAGTGCATTCTATGAATAGCTTTTCCGGCGTTAGGTTACATTTTTACAAGCTTTTATTCAACTTGAGCTGTTTGTTGTATGTATGTTAGTTACTAACCTTAACCAACTAAACTGAAATTTTGTACCCACTTTTGGTTTGCGTGACAATACAAAATGAATCAACTGCCGCCATTTTGAATCCAATATAAAAAACATAATAAGAAAAATGACATAACTCTATCTCCAATATGGGGACAACCACAAAATGGCAATTTAGATTTTTACAGTCACCCCTATGCTATGGATGTTAAATGAACGGGCTCATTAAAAGCAACACAATAAGCAAAGTGCGGTCATTCTGAATCCAATATGGCGACCGCTTCAAGACGGCGTTTTTACATAATTATCATAGCTATAGATATCAAATTAAAGGGCTTCATAATAAAACCATCAAAAGCGACGTGACGTCATTCTAAATCCAAGATGACGATCGTCTCAAAATGTCGATTTATCGATATGATTCATAACCACCGAAATTTCATATTACAAATAATATGGGGTCTTATTAATGAAATGTATGAAAATTATGTTATATAGAAATTACCAAACTAGTTATTTGACATAAATACTAAAGAATTAAAAATAAAAATACAGTTTTTAAAACAAGCTTTTATTTAGCTGTTAGCGAAATGAACTAAACATTTTAATACATTTTCTTCCGATTAGAAATATTTATCGATCACGAAGCTCCTGCATCTCAATGTTTCAAATAAAAGCGAGTTAGTTTTTGATAGCAAAATCGAAAAAGGATGCATCACGGTTTTATTTGAAAACTTAAGACGAAGGAGCTTTATCGTTTGAATATTTCTAATCGCAAAAAAATATTTTTAAGTTTTTAGTTCGTTCTATTGTCAGCTAAATAAATTTTTTTTTGCTGAAGAAGTATTTTTCTTCTTTATTTATTCAGCTCACGGGGATTACCTCCCCAAGGTTACTTTACTAGTAACCTTAGCTTCCGCTACGTTTGTAACATAAATAACTTTTATCGAAACATAAGTCAAATTTTGAGTATATTCGATCGAGTCAAATATAAAATAGTATCTTATTTGCAATCCGCCATTTCTCACCCGATTTTATCAGCTTGTTATTTCAATTCAGCGCATACCTTTATTAAGTATTTTCCCCGACAGCAGTGGATAGAGTTTGTAATTGCTGACCTAGGAGACATTATAGACTAACTTATAATACCTGTGTGACTCGTCGAAATATAAAATCATCTTTGTGTCAACTTGAAGAGACCGAACGGTACAGATGGTACATGGCAGGCTGTTCCTCGTGTATCTCCAGCCGTTTTTTCCTATAGAAGATCTAAATCCGTCTAACTTTGAATCTCCTACATAACATTCTCTATTCCCAAGCATCTTCATCAGGATATCTTGGTCATAGGGTGAAGCTATTATTGTTGTATTTTCACATTTGTTCCTACGTATACAGTAACATCTATGGAAAAGAAGAAATAACATGATAGACATGATTCTAAATAAATAATACTATTGAAAAAGTTAACACAAATTATTTTTTAAGTTTGGGCATCATACGGGTACCACGGTAGGTTGGAACAAAACAAGAGCAGTTCTGATCACCTTCTGGATCATTTGCTGTAATGCGAAGAACATTGATCTCTAAAGCCCTAAAGCCATCTCTCTCTCTCTCTCTCTCTGCTGTTCTCTCCCTTTTGCAATCAATTAGTTTATTTTTCTTCTGCGGTATGGTTCTTTCAGAACCTATCCAGCCGGTTTCCGTGAGATCAAAGATACATTTTATGGATATCCAGAATGTACAAGAAATCAATATATATATGAACTATGGAGTTTATCTACCTTGTTTCTCACCTTTTGGTACCGAAGCCAGCGCTGACACATCCATCAGGGCACAAATCAACAATGTCATCCTCCTTGTATACCAACAACTGACTGTAGTTGTTGTTGCAATATTCTTGCCTAACATCTGTAGTCTCAACATCGATCACAGCGCAGTCCTTCCCAGGTTCAGTCATGTTCATAGGATAACTGATATTAGAAATGTTTGCATTGTGGATATCCAGAGCAAGAGGCTCGTATGGACCAAATGGTTGAGATCTTTTGAACAACACCACATCTTTAATGAACTTCGGTATCCTGACCAAGGAGTGTCCGTTCATGTACGTCTTTTGCTTCTCGTCGATCTGTTCTGTCGTGGAAATGAAGAAGCAGAAGGACTCGTAGACAGGGCAGAAGTTTTTTATGATCTTCGAACACTTGGGAATGTGCGGTGGGATCCAGGTGCCATTCAAGCAGACTCTGGTGATCAGGTTCATGTTCTCGTCCAGACATGCTGGTTGTGAAAAGACGATGCTGCCGTTCTCTTTTGCAATCCATTCTGCTTTCTCTCTTTCTTCGGAGACTGAGGCTTCTGTGGCACACTGGAACCGTATAAATACTGTTATAGATATAGTTTTACTGTTAATTGAAACAGCGAAAGAATCATGAGGCAGGACAGCTTTCAACACCGATTTGAGAGCCACCAAGTGATAGTAGGTTCCTTTTCCCATTTCAATTAGCACGAATATTATGTGGAGAAACTCATTTAAATCTTCTTTGTCACAAAATACCTTACTGTTAGATGATGGTTCTCTAACAAGCTAGGTTCAAAACAATCTAGTATGATCTGGCTCCTCCATACAATGCCCGCCAGGTTCGCGAATTCTTCAATCACACCTATTCTGTAGGATGGATTCATAGGATCTATTCACGTTTAAGGATTTACTGTCCCTATATTTTGTTTGAATTAGAAAAAGATAATAATAACTGCGGTTATAGGATCAAGTAATACTTGGATTACAAAAATTATGTCAAAACCACCATCTCTTGGAAGAATTCATTCAATTTTGAAGACCTATGGTTCATTAATTGTTTTCTCAGCCTATTTGGTATATAGAGGTTGACAATCGCATTTATAGGATTAAATTAAAGAGTTGAGAATTCGCAATATTTAGGGATCTTGCAGCATTGTGTCTATCCCGCGGAAAAACTGCTTAGAATATTTGATTATCTTATGTAAGGCTATTATATCCAGAACCTTTTTAAAGCTATAGACACTTCATCTGCCTACTATTTTTTGTATAGGCCTTGTTGAATAAACTGTAATATTTTTGGCAACAGACACAATAGTTGTGGTTTAGCGGATTGCTGTGACTAATTACCTGAACTAGTTTCTCACTGATAGTTTTTTTTTCAACAACACACCATTTGAGAAGGTATCCTGTAAAGATGATTAAGAAATAGCGTAAGACCAATTCAGAAAAAAAGGTACAGTCTCAAAAGTAGCGTTTGGCCTATATTAGCATTACCATGGAAGCTCTGATGGATCTCCCACAGTTGGCTCTAGTGATACGCGGTGAAGCGAGAGTAGTCGCACATCGACTGTGGAGTCAGGGCAGCTGAGCCTTCTTGAGTCCTGTCAACTCTCCACACTCTTATTATGATTTGGTAGCCAATTGAAAATTCGTAGACCCAATCTTACTTGGCAAAACACACATTGAAGTCTGCAGCTTGTTTGGTCAAGCATGAGTTAAAATTGTTTAAAAACCTAAAACCTATTTTTGATAATAAAAGTATACACAGCCATGTATGTAGAATAAAAATAATGGTGGTAAAGTCAAAATTTTAAGACGCTTAAAAATATTCTTACAAGAATGCTTTTTCCGATCTTACATCTAATCACTCTTTTCTGGGGTAAAAATACTTGCTGAACATTTGTGGACAAACCCTAGAAGCATAGTACACACCTCAGTCGTGTCTCAACTTGAGCATAGTAAACACAAGCTATTTGTGCTTCAGTATGGACCGTTCGCAAATTTTTCATAAGCATATTTTTTCAAATCAATGCATTACTCATAACGAAATAGTTGATGTCAAAATGGAGGCTCTTCAATTACCGTCAGTGCTCACGCTTTACGCAGATGAATTGGAAGACAGCCTAGGCGCGATTTGGTGCAGTTTTCTACACTGCTTGAAGAAGCACAAGGCTCTGGAACTGCAATTTATAAGATTTTAGTGAAAACTACTTCATAGGTAAACATAGAAACTGCCTTGTGCATTTGTTTGTATCTCATGATCACCATCTGCAGCGGTGAACGTTCTATCAACATTAAAACGTGTTAAAAAAACACAATGAGCCAATAACGTCTTAATAACCTAACGTAGATTGTTATTCAATATGATTTGCTCAGAGAACTCGATATGAATAGTATTATTTCTAAATTTGCTCAAATCAAATCTAGAAAAGTTTGTTTGTAAGGATTTTGTTTTATTTAATATCATACATTTGATAACCTTAAGTAAACCAAGGCCCGTTGATGTAATTTGCTACAGGCCCCGCGCTGGCGCTGGCTTAGTCTGGCATTGTTTTCATCGAATAACAACCAAATAATATCTGTAAGATCATTTTAGGAAAAACCCTTTATTAACACATTTTTTAGCTATTTTAGCAAACGAAAAATAAATGTTTGTTTCTCATGAACATTGAAGAATAACACATAAGTCCGGAAGATCGTGAATATGTATAGCCATCCACTTGAACATAATTGTCAGATTCCTGCTTTTTATTATGAAACCCATTGCCAAAAAATCTGCTTTTTTTATCTTTAACGTAGCCGTTAAAAAAACCTTAAAATCCCATTTCTAGACTGCGTAAGCAAAACATGATGTGTCTGGTATACTTCTAAACTTGAAATAAGTTAATGACGACAAAACATGCAGTTTTTTTTTGAAAAATGAACAAGCTCATGAATATGTTGACTCTCGAATCCTGATAGAATAACTAACAATAACTTAAATATACGTACCGGCCATCCATCAAGGGATTATATTATACAGGAAAACACGCTAGGTGAGTAGGATTACCTAGGTTAGAAACGTATAAATTGCTAGCACCAAAAAATTGACTCTCTCCCCCACTCTCCCCCACCTCTGCAAGCCCCAACATCAAATACCCCTGCAAAATTTTTACTGAAAATTTTCGGGAGCCTCTGAAATATCAAAAAACGAAGTTTGATCGATTATTGCGTATTTTTTCCCATAGTTCCGCCGCTACTGGACCGATTTCCAAGATCTAAAAAGCTTGTTCGTCCTTGACATAGTAATATCCTTGTGTGAAAACCAAATCCAGCAGTACTTATAGGGGTCAACGGTTAGCGGACAGACAGACAGACCAACAGATACAGACAGACGGAAATAAGTGTCATTGTTTTTCATCATGTACATGTTATGTAACATCCAAAACACATCTCATTTTCGAAAGTTTTCGAGATTCATAAAGTAAAATTCCAGATCACACAAACGACGTAAAATGTCCATCGGTCTCAGCGTGTTAAGCAGAAATATCTAGGAGCGTAACATCTATGCGCTTTTTAAAATCATAGTAGTAGTTACCCATATTATATTGACATTGATATTGATTTGTATCGTCATTAATACTGCATAATTATTTTTCATTTCTGTAAATCACTTACAAGTCATTCTACTACTAATTAAACATAATAACAATAAGAGATCCGTTTATTAGGTATTTCTAACATATTTCTAATTCTTGTCAATTTAATTACTATGGGATAATGTTTTACGGTCACTCACTGATCAGTGGTGTGTGGTATTCGAAGACTGCAAACAGACACGTCACAAATTATGTAATAACCTCAGAAACTACAAAAAGAGTTACATATGGGTGGGGTAATTCCAAGCCTGGACACCTGCTAATAAGTACTGCAGACAAACTTTTGTTTTGGATAACAAGTAATTGCAAACATTTTTTCTAGCGTTGACACACACTTCTATGATTTATAAAAGCAAAATAGTTTTCACCATTACAATGTGGGACCGGGTATTTTCAATTGCCAATGACATGGTACATTATCCATTAGTATGGTCCATTCAAATATATATTTATACATAAAAAATAAACATCTTTTTAACAAAATAGTAATAGAAACACCATGTCATTGTTTTATTTATTAAAAACATCATGCATACAGAATCCTAACGAACAATAAATAAAAAAAGTAACTCCTTTATAGCAAAACAACAATATAAATTAACATGTAACAAGAGTTGCTTTCCAGCAATTTATTTTTCTCATTTAATTTGTTTGTATGCTGCAACCTCTGCATCTTTAGTGGTATATAATAATAAACAATCCAAGAGATCAACAAAAGTCATCTTTGGTCAACATCAGGTTTGTTAATGAAATGAAATAAGATGACAACGAGTTTTGGGAACAAATTTGCAAATGTCCGGCGTTCGGCTCATCAACTGAGGTGCGTTCGTAAATCATTTAATTTAATACTGTTGCCCATTAACGGAATGTGAATTGCTAAACAAAATATTATCCTGGAATCCCGCATAACTTTGTTTTTAGATCGCCACCAAGTTCTTCCGGAAAAATCAGTTGTTACAAAAATCCATTTGCAGAAGGTTCATTTGAAAACTTCTCACCACGGAGATATCGAAAACCACTGATTAAAAACGCCGAGACACGTTGAGAGATTTGTCAAGGAGTACAACTTTTTAACCAAAAACTATTTTACCCCCTTTTCATCCTCTGCCTCAGGGCCATCCCCTTAAAAACTTTAAACGACAAGGGGTATCGGTAATAGCTTGTTTGGGAAGTCTTTCCAAGTCCTTTATTTTGACGTTTGATTTTTTAAAATCGGTCGATTCGTTTTCAAGAAAATTAGAAAAATCTATCTTAATGTGTTCTGACACACGAAAATATCACTTTTATTTCAACAAGTGTTCAAAATGTTGACCGTTATTGGCCAAACAATGATGATGACGGACATTTTCAAAACCATGTTGTGAGATATGGCAACTTCCGATGATGCGCTGACGAAGTTCATCCAACAGTTTTGACCTTGAAAGACCTTTCAAACAAGCTATTACTCGATACCCCTTGTCATTTATAATTTTTAAGGAATGACGCTGGGAGGCAAGGTTGAAAGGGGGTGAAGTGGTTTTTGGTGGAAAACTTATTCCCCTTGACAAATCTTTTGACCTGTCTTTTAATCAATGGTTTTCGATAAATCCGTGGTGAGAAGGTTTCAAATGAATATAAAAAGCAATAAATATATAGATAACGTCACGTTGCCTGTACCTGTATTACCATAATTTATACCAACCTTCTATATTTTCATCACTAATTTAATGTCGTTAATCACCGGTACGTTATTTATCCTGGAAAAAGAATGCGCTACAAAACGGATAAACGAATACAAATGTAAACAAATAAAGAAACTGGAGAATGGCAAGTAAACTCACTCTGATTTCCAAGATATTGAGCACGAATAGTTCAAGAAGTATCTTTGAGCAAGTGCTCGAAAAAGAAATTGGATTCAGTTTTACTGCATAATCATATTCAAAAAGGACCTCTTTTAACGAACCTCCTGTTGCCAGGCACAAAATAGCGTCAAAAATTGTTGTAACAATTTTTATAAGCAGCTTCAAAAAATTGTGTTTTCGCACCGAACAAAATGTTTCTAGGTTTTTTGGGTCATTCTCAACAAAAAAATCTTTATGAGTTTTGACGCACACTGAAAAATGATATTTCCTAATTTTTATTGATACCCGGGTACCCGGGTTTTTCCTCAAGTAATACCCGGGCAGTATACCAAGCGCTAACAGGACTAGGAAATAGTGAAAAGATTATAAGGTTAATAAAGTTGACACGGAAAATAGAATAAAAGTTGGAGGAAAATATTCTGAAAAGTTCAAGGTAGAAATGGGGTTGCGGCAAGGAGATCCGTTGTCAACAGTTTTATTCAACTATGTATTGGATGATATAATCAGAGCAGCAAATTTAAATAGGAATGGTTTGTTATACAGTAGAAAGCACCAATGTTTAGCGTTCGCAGATGACATTGCAATTGTTGCTAGAAGCAAAAGAAAATTTATACAAGTACAACTTTCAGGACATACGTTATTAGCATTCACTAGTGATCGCGTAATGCAACACCGTGCAATTTGACCCCATCTGACTTGTTCTGTAAGATCAGCAGCCACAGAAAAGCTTATCCTGACCTCAAAACATTTCAAGTTCAGAGATAATGTGACAAATTACCTCACGCATACATACATTTTTTTGATACTCTTACCAATTTTTACCTTGACACAGTGCAAATCATAACGCTACACGCCAAAAATTGGCTAATCTCAGAAACTTTGTATTAATATTGAAAGCGTTACGTATCATTTTCCGATATAAATAAGTACCTAGGAAAAAGCTTGTTCAAACATTTCAATCTAACTTCGCACCATTTTCCATAGATTATACAAAAAATATACATACTCAGCTTTTTCCAAATCCCGGTCTTAAATATACCACAACTGGAAGATAAGATATCACCTCTCACACCCACTAATGATCGCAAACTTTGATACCGCACAATTTGACACCAACTCACCGTTCCATGTAGATCATTGGCCACGGCAAAGCTTATCCTGACCAGAAGACACTTCAAACAAAGTTCGAAAAAGAAGCGACATGCTTTCATTGCGCCTCTGCGTGAGGTGGTATTTGTGGTTGTTGGTGATCGCGCACCAACATTATCTGGACTGCTTAATCATTTGTTTATACTGGTAACTTGTAATTTTTCCGTGTTCATATACACGTATAGAGCTATTGTATGAATCTCTCGCTTGCTTCCAGTGGCGGAACATGGGCTCCTATATATAATCCAGTGCCTCCTACCTAATACGGTATTCCCTTCTAAAATGTTTTCAAATTGCTAAGCGAATATCACTTGCTTTGCTTTGCATGGATCGCTAGAAATTTTATATTGGGTTCATGAAAACCACAATACCGTTTCTGGTCAATAAAGGAAGCTACAAATCTGAATAATTAATACACAGACAAACGAAAAATATTTTTTCCTACCACCGTCCGGAAAGTACTCACTTTCCGCGCTTGATAGGGATTCTGCAAGCGTTCTGAAAGTGCCATTTTCCCGAACGCATTTCAGTTTGGATAGTGTTACTTTTCCGCATGGGCATGGTTATTTTTCGTAACTTGGAAAGTGACATTATGTCGCAATTTTTTGACATTATTTAGGTTTGCCTACAAGACGTCAGCTTGGAAATAGCTCTCGTTCATTTCATTCTCACTTGTAGCAAGCGCGGAATGAACTATTTGCTCACTAGCCTACTTAGACAACAAGTTGACATTCTGTCGTTTTTCTGACATCATTCAGGGGTGACTGAATTTGACACTTGGTTTAATGGATAACCAGCGGGGTTGGTACGTAAAAAGTGTATGTGTAGAACAAACAAACTTGTCAAAGTCAACCTGACAAGATAACAAAATTCAAATCGAAATAAAGTTATATCTTTGTCTGTTTCTGACATCGATATATTGGATAATGATATACCAAGCGACACATTTCAGAGACGACAACAGAAAAGTGATGCTGAGAAATATTGAGTGTACTACCACCCCACCCAGGATTTTGTCGTCTGCCATAAATCTTCAAAATGCCAATAATCGCTGTTTTGTTATCAACATTAACAATAACAAAATTTAATCGGGTTTAAATGTTTTTGTTATAGTCTAATCTATTAGACGAAAATAGCCCTGGTTTGCGAAATAATTGTAAGGTCTGGTCGTATTTCTGCAAGTTGTTGGTATTGAAAACATGGACGCATAAAATGGGTACACCAATTTTTGTGGGAAAACTTTTTATTCGACAACAAAGAATGAGAAAACGAGTTTTTTGAGATTTGATCGAAAGTGCTAGCACAAACGAAACAACTCTTCATATAAGATTTTCAGCTAAAAATCGAGACCTACAAAATGAGACCACACGTAAAAAGATCTGACTTATAGCAAAAAAGTTATGACCGACAACCGAGGCAAACTGCAGGTTTTGACACTTGTTCGTAATGCGACGATGGTTTCTCGCAGATATTTGAAATTCGTAGGATCCGTACTTATAAACAACCACAACAAAGTTAGAGTAGATTGGTCAAGTAGTTTTTGAGAAATTCTAATTGTTTTTTCGACAATCACTACTAGTTTATTGAGCAACATACAGGGTTAGTTCAAAGGGCATTTCAGACCAAAACACACTTGCTTACCTTGCCGATACGAGTCGCAAACCATTCCATTTTTATGCAAAAAAGGTTGGGTTACGGTTTTTCTTCGAAACAAATTGAAACATTTCGTATTTGTGAGTAATTTGCAACAAAAGATGATAGACACATTCGATCTGTTTTAAAATGTAACGTATGTTTTTCGAAAGCACATTTGTTCAAATACTCACAAATACGAAATGTTTGAATTTGTTTAGAAGAAAAACGGAACCTTTGTTTTTCGCATAAAAATAACATTTATCTTTCGGAATGGTCAGTGATTCATATAGGCAAGGTAAACACGTGTATTTTGCTATTAAATGTTCTTTGAACGAACTCTGTATATTGCTCAATAAACTAGTAGTAATTGTCGGAAGACAGGTGTTTTGGGATAAACAATTAGATATTCTCAAAAAACTACTTGACCAATATACTCCAATTTTATTGTTGTTATTTAGAAGTATGAATCCTACATATTTGAAGAATCTCAAGCAGTTGCCTGAAATTATCGTCGCTTTAGCAACAAGTGCCAAAACCTGCATTTTGCCTAGTTATTCTGTCATAATATTCTTGCTATTAGTCGGATCTTTTCACATGTGGTCTCGTAAATATTTTCGATTAAATCCCAAAAAACACGTTTTCTCATTCTTTGTTGTGAAATAAAAAAAATTCCCACAAAAATTGGTGTACCTATGTTATGCGTCCATGTTTTAAATGCCCCCTTATATTTGCTAATATGATTAGACTATTACTAAAGCATATGATTTCAATTGTTGTTGTTGTTCCTAACTCTTGCGGAAAAGAATCACTTTCCCCACTTGAAAGGAAAATAATTATTTCCAAAGCTAGATGCTCAGTTAGATCAGCTTGCAAAAATGTGTCTCAGCTGGGCTTTTATTTGATGGCGGGCTTAAACAACCCTTTAGCAGTCCTAGACTTGTGTATTAGATTAAAATACGTACAGTATATCTTACTATTCGTCTTTGTTACGAATGCGCTTATACAAATTGTCATAATCATAAGCATAATCATAGTCGAAGAACTTTTAGCTTTTATGATTACGCTTATTGCTGACACGTCAAGGTTAACTAACGACAACTAACTAACAACATACCTAACCTAAAAATAGACAACACATGGTAGATCTCAATTTGTAACCTACCGCACTATACAGAGTGTTATAATATAATTATTGTGTTCAACTGGTCAATAAATCATTAAAAACAATTTTGTGTGTTTTTATTTATTTTAAAATAAGGATAAATTCCTTAGATTCATTTTCTGAATACTCTATCATCTGTAGAAATCAAAAAGGACAACTGCTTCAGATTACAAGGCCCAATTGTTCAATTACAAGTTAACTGTGCAACTTAGCTGGTTAGAACGTAACTTTCAAAAAACGGTTTTCAACGACAAGTTTGTCTTAAAAGTAAGATTGAATCGATTAATTTTATTTTCTAAATGATCTGTTACCCGTTAAAATAAAAGAATACAACTGCTTATGACTATGATTAAGATCGTATAAGCCTGCACCGAAGTGAGAACTACCAAAATGCCATTAGTGTAAAAAATGATTCTTGACTGAGCCTAAAACAACATTTTCCACACAACCTACACTTCTCAGGTTATGTTGTGCAAATAAATGCATCGTTTCTTTCGTTTCTTTTTCTCATTTATCTCCGTTGCTGTGTATAGGATCCAGGAGAATGACAAAATCAAATTATTTGTCATAAGTTTATGTAAGTTTTTTGCGAAATTAACTCTTCCATAGATATGATTTTACTGAGAATAACTTGTATTAGTTAAATTACTATCAAAATGAGAAGCAAAGTTAAACTAAGTTTGGAATTGCATCCGCCTCCTGTGTAAGAAGAAAAACATTTTTGGCGGTGTCATCTGATTCATCTCAGTTGTGTGTTCGGTCACCTAAAAGAGGAGAGAAAATGCCGTTTTTGAGAGTCTTAGAAGAACTTTAAGGTTTCTTTTATCTTACGTATCAAGCCTGAGGTCAGATTCCTACAAATCTGTAGCTATGCTATTTGAACTATAATTAAACGTATGTATGAATGTGCTTGGTAACTTACTATAATCATCCTTATTTACGTTTGCAAAAAGCTTGAAATTGTAAGTTTCATACTTTGTTTTAACATGTTCACATCCAAAAGCTCATTCCTTTCATCCCTTGTCTTCTACCTATTGAAATAATAAAATTCAATCATGGCAATTTTATGTTGATTTGCCACAATCTTAGTACGCATACATTTCCCTATTAATCTATATCTGGGTACGCCTATGAGTTAATGCCTAGGTGATAAAAGTTACAGTTATTCCTCTATTTCTGTTCACATTTTAAAACCACACAGCCAATAAAAATAATTTGTTTTACTAGATATACTTGCTAAGCCTTCACAACTGGTATCGTTATTTTGGTTTATCCTCCGTCATCATTTCTTGCTTATGACGTGCGAGTATAATAGAACGATGTGCTTTACTGTTAAGGATGAACCTGTTCGAAAGGGTAGCCTTACCGACTGTGGAGTTTCAGTGCTTTCTGCTTAAAGCTCTAGGGTACTCCTTCCAAATCCGCAAATGTTTTGCTTGTATAAGCTAAGTCGATGCTTTTACCATTCCAGAGAAACATTTTTTCATGATTTTGAAATCTCAGTTTTAAACCACGTATCTCAGTAAGAATGCTATATAGGACCTATATTTAATTGAACTTTTTGTGATATTCTTTGACTTACTTTCTTATCAACAAAGTATTGCCGGTGTTTTTTATCACCTTGAATACGATACCCTAGGGCCTTAATCCGTAATGTAGTTTCGTTTATTTTTTTTTAGAAAACAGGGTAAAAGTGTAGTGTTCAAGAAGAATCATTGGTTATCTTGTTTAAAATCTTAATAATCCTTTTGAAAGGAAATTTGGCGAGAGAGTCAAAACGGATATGGCGTTTTAAATCTTTTTCAAATAGCACTCAATCGCTAGCCAATTTTTGAGTTTTGAATCGTTTTATGCAAACTAAAAACCCGAACGATAGTGAATTTTCATTATTTGAAACAATTTGAGCTATTCTTTGCTGTGCAAATATAACATACATTACTTAATTACTATCACTAGTTCCACAAGTTACCATATTAATATATTGAAATTATTCATATTACAATACTCGTTTGAATGCAGGGTGTTAATAAAGTGCCTGTTCAAACTTTACTGATTTTTGAGAGATTTTGAAAATAAAGACAATTATAAACATAGATTCGGTAATGATTCGTTTTTCCGAAACACGGTTTTCCTCGTAAAAATATGAATGTTCATTAAAGCGATTTTGTAAAAATTTGTTTAAATTGGGTAGGATTTACAGACCACCTTCTAAAGCATTTTTCAATAAGGACGCAACAGGTTCTATTAAGTATGGTATTTCGTAACAAACAACTGAAATATTTATTGGCAAAAATGTTACATAGAAGACCCCCCTCAAAATGTGGTTCGTGTGTACACATCATGTATGATTCGTCAAGTTTGAGAGTTGCGAATAAGTTTCATCATAGACCACAAATCTTG